GTGATCAACAGTGTGCAATCAACTTGCTTCTAGTGTGATCAGCTATTTCCCAGAACAGGATAAAAAGTCTGAGATGAACTGATAGGTCATTCCCTATCTGGATTTCTGTGTCATCTTTTCAAAAGGTTGGGTTACATTGGAAGTATGGAGTAATCAAGAGAGAGATGGAGAAAAACTCCTACAACTCCACACCAAACTGAAACCTCAGACTTTAAGCATTAGTGAGGCATCAAGTTTCCTTCTGATAACAAAAATAGCTGTAATAAGATTACATAATCCTGCATGGTAAGCCCTTTCCTTTCCCCTCTTCCTTCACCTGGCTCTTTAGATGTCTCTAAGATAAATAGAGGTATCTAAAATTCCAAATTTTTTAGTTTTTCTTCAGCATGCCTCATTACACAACTATGGCTGCAAAATAATTTATTTTTCACTTCAGTGAAAGAACTGAAAAACTGGGGAGAATAATTCTTCCAGGGCATCATGAAACGTATTTTTTTATTACTTAAAAAAAAAAAAAAGTTTCTTTTTTCTTTCAGATATAATGATCTATTTTACTCTATTTTAAATGAAAACAAACTCAGCTGTAAAAGGAACAGTAACTCTGAAATAAACCATTTAACCATTTTGCTAGGAAAATGTCAAGTTGAAATATTTCAAGTATTTGCCTCAAAACTGCATTTTTAAGCAATATGTTTTTATATGAATGCTTTTTCTTTGCTCTTTAGAACTTCCTTTTGCTAGACATTGCACATTTTTCTGCTTTTCCTGATTGCCCAGATTTTTTCTTCATTGTACCTTAGCTTTTTTGGTAGTTTTTTAAAACTCCTTAAAATGAAAAAAAAAAACTTGTTCTTGATATTTTAAAAATATAATTATTATTTATCTTGCTTCTAAATTTGTGTTAATTTCCTGCACCTTTATTTTTTTCAGCGCACCAGCCACATGACCATTTTCTGCAGTACCACCCTTACAGTAAAGAACTTCTTCCTTATATCCAATCTAAACTTCCCCTGTTTAATTTTTAACCCATTACCCATTGTCCTATCACTACAGTCCCTAGTGAAGAGTCCCTCTCCAGCATCCTTGTAGGCTCCCTTCAGATACTGGAAGGCTTCTATGAGGTCTTCATGCAGCCTTCTCTTCTCCAGGCTGAACAGCCCCAACTTTCTCAGCCTATCTCCATACAGGAGGTGCTCCGGTCCCCTGATCATCCTCGTGGCCCTCCTCTGGACTTGTTCCAACAGTTCCATGTCTTTTTTTATGTTGAGGACACCAGAACTGTACACAATACTCCAAGGGAGGTCTCACAAGAGCAGAGTAGAGGGGCAGGATCACCTCCTTGGACCTGCTGGTCACGTTCCTCTTGATGCAGCCCAGGATATGGTTGTCTTTCTGGGCTGCGAGCACGCACTGAAGCCGGCTCATAAGTTTCTCATCAACCAACACCCCCAAGTCCTTCTCTACAGGGGGGCTGCTCTGAACCTCTTCTCTGCCTAACCTGTAGCTGTGCCTGGGATTGCTCTGACCCAGGTGTAGGACCTTGCACTTGGCACAGCTAAACTTCATAAGGTCGGCATCAGCCCACCTCACAAGTGTGTCAAGGTCCCTCTGGATGGCATTCCTTCCCTCCAGCATATCAACCGAACCACACAGCTTGGTGTCATCAGCAAACTTGCTGAGGGCACACTCAATCCCACTGTCCATGTCATCGACAAAGATGTTGAACAAGACCCTCTTTCCATCTATCCCTCTTTCTCTCTTAGCTCTAACCTCCATTTTTACAGTTCCTCCTCCAAGAACTCCACTGCAGCAGGTATTCATAAAGCCAGATTCAGGTCCCAATAGGACCCTTGGTCTTCTTCATAACCCTAGACAAGGTTCTCAGCCTTTCTGTATTTTGGATCATGTTTTCTGCACCACTGTCGTGGTTTAAACCCAGCTGGTAAGTATCACACAGCCACCTGCTCACCCCACGCATACACTTTCCCTCACCCTGGGCAGGATGGAGAGGAGAATCAAAGGTATGCAAAACCCATGGGTTGAAATAAGAAGAGTTTAATAACTAAAGTACAATATACTACTACTTTTTTCAAGAAGACCAAGTCTGGGACTAAGTCTGGGACTAAGTCTGGATCTAGCCGCACCTCGACTCCTCTTTGAGAAGGAGTTTAGAAAGCAAGGGGGTTCTTTATGAACCTCATGACTCAACAGGAGGATCTCCCTGAGAGTTTCGTCTGACCCTGTCCTCTATGCAGTAAATACTCAAGTGTACTTTGCCATCAAATATTGTTAAATCACTGCCACATTTACTATTAAACTTTATTAAATTGCTATTTTATATTAAGAAACATTGCTACTCCTCTCTTACGAGCAAAGTGCATCACTCCATGCATGTCTAATAAATCCTTTACCTTTCTGATCAAGTTTTCCATTCAGCTGAGGCACTGTTTATGTTGGAAAGGACAGACAATAATGTAAGGTCCAGACCCCTTTTATGATTTAATTGTTTACCACGTGTATCTTTAGTTAGCCGTAGGTGTCCAGGCTATAGGAAACCTAATGAACACTTCAGGAAAAAAGAGTGTTAAAAGTTTAGAAACTGTAAATAGTATTTCAGTTTTCTTCTCCAAATAGACTTAAAAAATAATAGAAAGCAGCTTCTGTCAAACTTGATTAATGCAAAAACAACAGTACTTGGAAGGAGCATCTATGTTATAAGAGGATTTCAGTCTACTTTAACTGTCCAGTACATTTAATCAGTTACATATCAGCTTTCTTAGGTTTAACTGAATACTCAGCTCTACAGTAAACAGCTTCAGTTTTGTTCTGCAAGGCAGTATTTGGATATACACAATTTGAAAAGATACTCTATGTAAGTTTCTTGCCAGTAAATCATCATCATAACAGCATCATATGATGTTATACCTGAGTTTTGCAGAACAGATGTTCAAAATTATTGGAGGTTTGCCATTAGTTAGATAGTTAAATACCTTTATCTTCCTGAAAATGTACCAAAAAATCATAGTTCTTTTTCCTTATAGTTCATGAGCATCCCACACCACATCAGAGTACAAATTCAGTGAGTTGGAAAAACAAGAACTGTTACTGATGCTGTCTTTTTCTGTCATTCTCCAGAATGCCTTCTTTCATGTATTCTTTGATATATTGATGTATAATCTAGTGTCTTGTTTTCTATGAAAATTAGAACAATCAAAATGTCAAATAAATGAGAGAATGTATTTTGAGGTTTGTAAAAGGGATTTTAATAAGACATTTCAGTTTAGAGCCCACTGTTTCTCCATAATGTACCTTGTAAAAAAGCTTATTACATTGCTCTCTGGTAGCATGAATTGGTAGTTTAAAATAATTTTTATATCATGACATTGCCCTCTGGTAGCATGAATTGGTAGTTTAAAATAATTTTTATATCATGAAGAAAACATTGCCTTGAAGATAAAATTCAGTTAATGCAGCAATGATATTACTGATCAATATCAATGTGAAATTAAACAGCGTTTGCTGCTCTGGTTGAATAAACCATCATTCAACTGATAGAAATTAATTCGGTTGGAACAATTGCAAAAAAAAAAGTTTGAAACAAGCTTGTCTTGGGTTTAGCAGTAGCAGTCAATTTTTCTCCTTCTTAGTAGCACCACAGCGCTATGTTTTGGCTTTCACCACAGCTTCCTCCACATTCTCCTCCCAGGTCCGGTCTCCGGCTACCTGTGGGGGCCACCCCCTGCCTTGCTTGCACAGTCCTCCAGAACTCTATGGTTCTGCTCTTAGAGTCATTCTGCAACAGGTAGCAGTAGTGATTTGTGTTATACCTTAGTTACTGGACTGTTCTTATCTCAGCCCATGGGAGTTAGTCTTTCGATTCTCCTCCCCATCCCCCCGGGAGCGGGGGGGGAAGGAAAGAAAGAGAGGGGGGGAGTAGAAACTGTGTGGTTGACTGGGTTTAAATCACAACAAAGCTGTAGTCTGTTTCCTGTCCTAGAAACTTCCACTATGATCCTTTGTCCAAAAAGTCTTCCAATATGATGCTTAACAAGAGAGAATTTAATTTTAAACACCAAGATAATGCAGCGAAGTATGAGACGGAGACAGCATGCCTGTGCAAACTGAATCACTTTTACGGAGTTTCTTGCCATATTTATACAAAATCACACAAGTTGTTTTTAAACAAGCTATTCGACTGTTATCCTTGTTTTTGTACTACCTAAGCTTTGATCAGTTCCAACACTACAATTCACACCATCCCCACTTATCAGCTCATGTCCTCCCATACAGGATACCCAATGTTTGTTATTCACATCTGTGATGTTTTATGGCTGTTCTGGTTACGTCCCTCACATCTTCAACTGCCTGAGGTTTTTGGCAGGCCACATATATTCCCACAAGATAACAAGAACAGTCATCCTTTCTGATGAGCACAAACAACATGCTTTCAATAAAACATGAATAGATATAATGAGTTTTGTGTTATTTGTATAAAGGGCTTGAAGCTGCAGTGATCTAACTCTTGCAGATAGATCTCTATTCTCATGAAGAAGTCACTGTAGATTATAACTACAAGGTCAGTATTTTAATTTGTTTTATTTTACCCAGAACCTTTTTGCCCATGTGTACCTTTCTAGAATGCATAAGCAGAAAGAAGTAATAAACAGCCAACAATAATGTGCCACGTTCCTCACTAAATCACAGTTTCTTATCATGCCATGAAATTCCCCAAATACACTAGGTTCTGCACAAATGTCTAGGAACATGCTGATTCATAGAAAGGCTCCAAGAACTTGCCAATAAAATTTAAGTTGACAAGCAGGTATTCTTTATTGCCACGCCGGGAGACATGGGGGATATCTCCTCCAAGCGTGTCCTGTATAAGCATCAAACAAAACGTGCATATATTGTTGATTAACTTACATATTCATTACATGTTATACATATTCATTAGGTCTCTAATCAATGACATCAGATTTCTATAAAGTACTTCTATGTAATTCCTGCATGCATACAATAATGTGGTAGTGGTCTTTGGGACCCCTGGTGGTCGTTTCTTCATCATCTTCCTCTTCATCACTTCGTCCTTTGGCTGAACTTTAGGTTTGGAAAGTCCTGTTGTCATGCCAGCAAACATTAGTTTGGTTCTAGCTGGTTATTGTAAAACAGTTACCTAAGATATACTTCTTCACTGTCATTTACCACAATGCTCTTACCTATTGCTATTGTTGTAAAGCTACCAAGCTCAATGTTACTTAACCACAAAGCAAAACTGATTTTACTTATTTACAAAAGATTATACTTCATGTCCTCAGGGACAGTCTGTCTGGACTCCTATGGATTGGAAAGCTATGAAAGAAATTAAGGGAGTAATTACTCAGTATGGGTTGTCTCCTCATATACACAGCAAATGTTACCTGCTTTCTTTTCTAGTAATGTTCTAACTCCAAATGATTCTCAGAGTGGCTGCAATTTTATTAACTCCTTCCCAGCTCCTGCATTTTAAAAGTGGGTTTGAGGAGGTTGCTGCAAGGGCTGCAGATGAGAATTCAGAGTGTAATCTTCATCACCCTTTGCACGGTGTTTCATCTGAAATGTTACTGGGAAAGGGGCAATTTCACCCTGATGGAGTACAAGCTCGTATGAAAATTGAAGTTTTACAGCAAGCACAGCAATTGTCTTTAGCTGCTCTGAAAGCTGTGCCGGAAGCGGGAAAACCCAATCCTTCATATACATCAGTAAAGCAGGGACCTACTGAGCCCTATATGCAATTTATTGACAGATTGACAGAGGCTATCGAAAAGAATATTGATCTGGCATCTAATGCTAAAGAATCCATGCTTATGTCTCTGGCTATGGAAAATGCAAACCCAGCTTGTAAGCGTATTTTGCAGGCTTTGCCAAAATCTGCTGGTCTTCAAGAAATGATGGATGCATGTTCTAAAGTGGGCACAGCAGAGGAAAAGGCTGGATACATGGCTTCTGCCTTCGCCGCTGCTGTTAAACCCCTTTTACAACAAGGTCAGGGTGATCGTGGGGGTACTAGAGGTACAAGATGTTATAATTGTGGATGGATGGGACATTTGAAAAGGCAATGTACTGTAAAGAAAATTAGTTCAGCAACCCACCCCCCTCAGGGTGGTGTTACTGGTCTTGCAGACAAATGTATTAAATGTGACAAATTTGGCCACAAGACAATTGAATGTCGTTCAAAGTTTAAAAAAGATGGGACACCTTTTGGAAACTGGAATGTGAGCGCGATGCCACCCCGCGCGACGACACAAAATCAGGGTGTCTGGACTGCATCCCCTCTGCCACTGCAGGGAGTGCTGGAGTGGACGTGGCAACAGCAATAGATTTTACCATAACTGATACTTCTGTTCATTGCATTCCATCTAAATTAAATGGGCCCCTTGGTCATGGGTTATGTGCTTTGCTACTGGGGTGATCATCAACATCAAGGAAAGGAATCTTTGTATTACCCAGTGTAATTGATGCTGACTATACTGGAAATATTGGGATCATGGTGCAAACGCATGCTCCTCCGGTCAACATCCCTGAAAATTCGAAAATAGCTCAATTAATTCCATTTGAGGCAAAAGTCCCTCAGGTGGGGCCAAAAATTAGAGGAAATCAGGCCTGGGGTTCCACGGGAATACCACAAATTTTATTTACTTTAGACATAGCAAGGCACAAACCTGAGGACCAAGTCTCTATAAGAGGTTGTGATAATCAGACAATTAAGTTGTCTATGTTAATCGATACAGGAGCTGATGTCATTATTATCCCATATCACCAATGGCCAAAGACCTGGCCTTTGGAACTTACCACAGCAGGAGTTGTGGAAATAGGGGGAATGCAATCAACTCAAATCAGCAAAGAGTTGGTGGATGTGTTTATGTCTGATGGAAGTCATGCCCAAATTAGACCATATGTTATGCCTTCTCCTATTGCATTGCTTGGACGAGATGCTCTCAGTCAAATGGGAATGAAACTCACCACAGAAAATTTTTAGTGGCGGCCATTGAGGGATGGTGGACCTATAAATTGCAATGGCTTACTGAAGCGCCTGTCTGGGTTGATCAATGGCCGCTGACAAAAGAAAAGCTGTCCCATATTCACCAATTGATTGATGAACAGTTGGAAGCAGGCCGTATTGTGCCATCCACTGGTCCGTGGAATACTCCAATATTTACTATTCCTAAGAAAAATGGGAAATGGAGACTGCTACATGACCTCAGAGCTATCAATGCAGTTATGAAGGACATGGGAGCTTTGCAACCTGGCTTGCCTAGCCCTTCAATGATACCTCAGGGCTGGGACTTAATAATAATTGATCTAAAAGACTGTTTTTTTACAATTCCTCTCCATCCCAGCGATTCTGAGAAATTTGCTTTCTCTGTCCCAGCAATTAACAAAGGAGAGCCTGCTAAGAGATATGAATGGGTTGTTTTGCCTCAAGGTATGAAAAATTCTCCTGTTATTTGTCAACTGTATGTTGCCTGGGTATTGCAAGCGATCCGGCTAAAAATGCAAAAATGTGTTATCTATCACTATATGGATGATATCCTAATTGCAGGCAAAGACCTAAATAAGGACCATCTGCTACGCCTGCTGCAATCAGAATTAGCAAAAGCAGGACTGGTAATTGCACCAGACAAGGTGCAATGTGAAGCCCCTTGGAAATATTTGGGGTGGATCATTTCTGGAACTGAAATTAGGCCTCAAAAAGTTAAAATTACTACACAGATAAAAACCTTGTCTGACACTCAGAAATTGATGGGTGATATCCAATGGATTCGCCCTTTGTGTGGAAGCACAAATGATGATCAGACCAATCTCATGCCCCTTTTGAAGGGTGAGCCAAAGGCAGAACAACAAGGAGTTCTATCAAAAGCTCAGTATGAGGCCTTGGATCACATCATGACAAAAATCATTACCTCTTATGCTTCTCAATGGAATCCAGATTTACAGGTTATTCTGTTTATTTTTAACAGTGAGTATCATCCATTTAGTCTACTAGCACAGTGGGATCTTCAAAAAACTGATCCTTTATGCATTTTAGAGTGGATTTTCCTGCCTTATCGATTACGTAAAACAGTAACTACTTGGTTAGAAGCATTTTCTATTCTGATTGTATGAGGTCGTTCACGATGTCAGGAAATTATGGGCTGTGATCCATCACAAATTTGTTTGCCACTTACCAGGGTATGGTTAAACTGGGCACAACAATCTAGCTCTGCTTTTCAGTCTGCTCTGATAGGTTTTGTTGGTCCTCTTAATATACATTTTCCACCTCATAAGATGTTTACAATGCTAAAGAATAATCAGTTTGAAGATGTTACCTTTTACTCCAGTAAACCTGTTGTAGGATTAACTGTCTTTACAGATGCAAGCAAAATGTCCTGGGTTCGGCAGTAGCAGTCATGTTTTTCCTTTGTGTTAGCTGGTGCAGTGCTGTGTTTTGGCTTCCAGCTTGAGAACAGTGTTGGTGAAGCCGATGTTTTCAGTTGTTGCTAAGTGATGTTTACCCTGACCAAGGACTCTGTGAGGCTCATGCTCTGCCAGGGAGGAGGGGAAGCTGTGAGGAAGCAGGGACGGGGCGCCTGACCCGGGCTAGCCCGGGAGGTATTCCATACCACAGCACGTCATGCCCGGGGTGAGGGGCAACTGGGAGTTACCCGGAAGGACAGGGGCTTCCGGGTGGAACTCGTTTTCTTGGCCGGTGGTATCGTATTCTGTTCCCTTGTTATTTTCCCTTATCATTGTTGTAGTTGATAGTAGCGGTGGTGATTTGTTGCTGGACTGTTCTTGTCTCAACCCGTAGGAGTTGCACTCTCTCGATCCTCCTCCCCGTTCCTCCGGGAGAGGGGAAGGGGAGAGCCCCAGTGCGGGGGGGGGGACGGACACGGACACGGACCTCGATTGTTGTCAGCTCGGCACCACTCACTGGGAGTGAGTGAACAAGTTACCTGACTGGGTTTAAACCACGACAATCACACAGCCGGATATGTTTGGCAAACAGATGGTGGCTGGAAAGAGCAGAAGATACTTGGTCATTTTTCCGATTCATTACAAACACTAGAGCTAAGTGCTGTTATTGCAGTATTTCAGCGATGGCCTGATATTGTCTGCGATTCTTTATATGTTGTAGGCATTGTTCAACATATAGAAAGGGCAATTTTACAAGAAGTCACTAATCACAGGCTGTGGATCTTGTTAAAAACCTTATTACATCTTGTGAATACTCGTAAATGTACATATTTTATTATGCATATTCGCAGTCATTCAGGCCTTCCAGGAAGTCTTAGTGAAGGCAATAACAAAGTGGATAAATTAGTTGCCCCAGCATGGGCAGGACCCTCTGTAAATATTTTTCAACAAGCTCGAGCATCTCATGCCTTTTTTCATCAATCAGCAAAAATGTTAGTTCGGCAATTTGGACTGTCCCTAACAGATGCCTGAGGCATTGTGCAGTCTTGCCCCGATTGTCAAGGCCAAGCAGTAGGTATAGGCCTTGGATTCAACCCTCCAGGCATTCAGCCTCTTCAGCTTTGGCAAATGGATGTGACTCATGTACCCTCTTTCGGGAAACTGAAATATGTCCATGAAAAATGGACAAAAAAAATTGACAATTTTTCTCACTTTGTCTGGGCCACTCCCCTGGCTGGTGAGACTGCACGCCATGTAATCATGCACCTACGTGGTTGTTTTGCAGCTATGGGAGTACCTTTACAACTAAAAACAGACAATGCATCTTCAACACTTTCGAGATTTTTGAATATTTGGGGTATTTCTCATGTCACTGGTATTCCTCATTCTCCTACAGGACAAGCTATTATTGAACGAACACATCAAACTTTGAAACAACTGTTGGAAAAACAAAAAACGGGGGAAGAAGGACTTACACCGGTAGCAAGGATACAGAAAGCTGTATATGTTATGAATTTTTTGCGATTGACAGGAGACTTTAATGACCCCCCTGCCATAATACATGGTCAGGCATTAGGTTCAGGTTATATGACTAAAACTCCGGGTATTCGGGTCCAGTATAAGGACTTGGAAACCGGCATTTGGAAAGGTCCTGCAGAAGTAAAACTAACTGGTCGAGGTTATATGTGTATAATTACAGATTCTGGTCTGCGGTGGGTGCCAGCACGATGGGTGAAACCCTGGAAAGAACCAGCACCACCCGAGGACAACCCCCCTTGTCAGTGATTGAATTAATTGAAATTTCAGCTTAGGACTTCCGTTTTATGGATGTTTTTCAGTCCTTCTTATAGTGAAGAGAGCAATCATTTTTATGTTAAAGTAAAAAACAAAAAAAAAACAAAAAAAAAAACATCCACCACCCCCCACCCACCCCCCCCAACCTACAGCGAGACAAACACAGGATACAGGCGTTTTGTGTGCGTTTTCGGTGGTGGGAAGGTCTTTCATATGTTCTTATCAGGGGTATTGGGCATACTGTGACTCATTTAATACAGTCTCTCTGTGATACTCATGAACTAGAAGTTGGTAAAAATAAGTATGTCCAGGTTTCTATCAATCTTTGGAGACCTTTGTAGATATTGCTGGCCACTTCTTCCAGCACAGGCTGGCCACCTGTGTCGGAATGAGTGTGCATTTTGGTCAGTACAAAAGCCCAAGCCTCATGTGCTGTGGGGGAGGCAGAGCCTCTGCGGGGATGCCCGCTAAGTTTGAGCCTGCCACCTCGCACTGCAATGATGCTTCTCGGAGCTGTTTCTCTGTTAGTCTCCACAGGGTCCTTATGCCACGTTCTGTACGTGGGACCGTGTAGTGGGAGTAATAATTGTCCTTTTGTGTTTCAAATATTGTACTTGTGTGGAGTGTGCTTGTGGGATCCCACACGTGTGTGTGTTGAGGGCAATCGGTGTTTTGTGTATTGTTGGGTTCATGTAAAAGCTTTTAACGGGTAGCTGTTTAACATTTCGGACATGAAAGAGTTAATATAAAAGTGCAGATGCCGGCAGGTATTTATAGTTGCTGCTGAAGCAGGCAGGCGGCTGTAGCTGCTGCCGAGCAGGCTGGCTTTTGCAGGAAAAAAAAAAAAGGGGGGGGGAAAAAGAGCAATGATGCAGCAAACTCCACGACAGTTAACAATGTGCAGTTTAAGCTGTCTACTTCTCAAGAACTGATACCATGGGGGAGGGGGTATATTTGTGTCCTCCTGCCTACAGGTCCATGCCTGCAAAGTTTGTCAAGACTTACCATGAGCCGGACAGACGAAATGGAAAAACCTGATGCCTCAGCTACAGGAGCTGACTGTGAATACCCCAAGCAGAATGAGATAGAGGAAGAGAAAAAATGAATGACTACAAAACATCACTTGGGGGCAAATGAAAAGTAACATCCTAAATATGTGTGCTTCTAAAGTAGCTATTATTAGAGGCTGTGATTTTGTATATGAAACCACCTGTATTTACTAGCTAGTTGCTAATAAGAAACTACACCTTGTGTTGTATAGATTTGTCACTTGTAAAAGAGATGTTAGAGTATGGAAATTTGCAGTAGCTGCTAGAAAATGCTAAGGCAAAAGCCAGAAAGATTTTAATACAATGGTAGTGTTATAAAGCAGGTGATGGAACAAATTAAGAGGATGGGAGAATTCCACTGGTAAGAAATTTCTTTGGCTAGTCCCTCACTGCCATCAGCATCTTCAACATGCTGCTGCACCATGTAATAGTTACTCTGCTAATGTAAATTTGTGTGTGCCTTGCTGTAGTAGCAACTTGTTACTGGATGAAGCAGGTGAAACTCTGCATTGACAACAAGGTGCAAGGACTGAGGCTGACAAAAGGCCTGCTACCACAATCAAGGGCAAGACTGGGTTGGCCTCTGTGTTTGCCACCAAGAAGAACCTTTAGCTCTGCTGTTGGCTGCAACCCAGCAGGCGTGGAGCAGTGGGGACACATGCCATGACAGACCTTGATGTGAAGGATGGCCTCCCCTGTTACCAAAGAGCCATACAGCAGAAAAAAGGGGCAGGCCCAGCAGCCTGTAGTCAGCATATGTTGAAGATATGATCTAGGCCAGATCCCCTGTTTAAGTAGAGTCTCCAAACCATATATAAAACAAAAAGGGGGAGATGCGGAGACAGTGTTCTCACAGGAGAATTGATAATTGGTACATAAACTCTGAATAATCCTGAAAGATACAGCAAGGCCTTGAGAGGCCCAAAAAAGCTTAAGCAAGCAAGATAAGAAGCAGCTAGAATTCACTGAGGTAATGAGAACTGTGGACTGTTGGCAAGCTTTCGAGGTCAAGTTCCCACACCTGTGCTTAACCAATTGTATGCTAGTTGCAAAGGGTCTTCAAGACATGTATCCAATCATGGTATGCCAAATCACTGTAAGTGCATGTAAGAAATGGTATTTAAGGGGTTAAGGCTTTGTAATAAACGGCTTTTTGTCTGATCATATTGATCCCTGACTGAGTCCATATATTTTCTGCGGCATTTGTGGCATTCAGTTCCCACATCAGATGATATGAAACTAATAAATGGGCTGGTGCCAGTAACCGGATTTTCACAGAATGGCTAGAGATGCAGTGGGGGGAACTGTGGCTGCAAACATGACTTGAGCACGATCACCTATGAAGACAGTGAGATATTTACTTGAGTGAACTCAAAAGGCTCAGACTGATGCAGATTTGCTATTTCTGGCAGAAATACATTTCCCAAGAGAATCTAGTAATTTCAAGACATCTGCTTGCAGATTCAGATAGGGGATATTCTTAGCCTAGAAAACTTTTCTCCACCTCATCTCCTCTGTTATAAATGCTGCTTACTTCAAGCAGAAAAACAAGAGAGCATTGAAATGAGCAAACAACCTGTTCAAATATCAAATTACATATAGCTCAAGAGGACAATAAATACTTACTTGAAAATACTAGGATCCATGAAGAAAACTGAGCATGCTAAGCTAGCTTAAAAAAAGGATACTGGTTCTTGCCTCTGGCACAGGAGCTGTATCTGACCACATTCCTTCCCAGTTCAAAAACATGCTTAGGTAAATGCCTGATGGTGAGCAGCTGACTAGTTCCCATGGCTTTTGGAGACTTACAGGTAAATCCTGTAGGAACACTTATAATCCTATGTAGGTCGGAGCACAATATCATATTGTCCACTCAGCACTTTGCTGGAGTTACTCTGTTGCTGAATCAAGATGGCTTATTTTCCTTATAAAGTTACTCAAATGTGAACTGAGAAGGTCCTTGATCATATGAGGGGAAATCAACATAGTCCACTGCTGCCACCATCTGACAGAAGATAAACAAATATATTTTTGAACCTTGCTCTTTCCCATGCTGAAAAAGTCCTGCAAAATATTATTGCATTCCCGTGCTCACTTTCCCAGCCCCCCTCCCTTTTCTTCCTCTCTTTCTGCCTGATAGTCAACCTGGTTTTAATGAAGAAGCTGCTTCCAACAAAACAGTGGCTATATTTAATGAGCCTGTTCCAATGTGTCATTTAATTGCTCCATTATTTCCTTTGTTAGCACTCTGGATAACAAATTTATTGGTATTTGACTAATTTTTCAAGCTTTAATTAAAATATATTAGTAAATACGATGTCAGCTGCAAAGAAGAACTACCAGCAAATTGTGGGAATTTAGGGATTCAGGTTTTTTTCTCTCTCTAAGCAGTAATTACTGAGGTAAATGAAACTTCTGAGAACTGTTGCTTCAAATTGAATTTTAGCTGCTTGCTTCCTGGAAGTGAAGACGTCAAGATTATTGTCTGAGTGAAGCATAAACAAGAATAAATATAGAGGTACTTAGTGAAGGACTCAGGGAAGGCAGATAGTGGGATGTTTATGATAAATGTTATGCCACTCATATTCAGGTAACAAAAATTAAGTAACTCAAGTGAATGCTACCTGTAGCTAATGTTTTTATCTGGGACAGGGTCATCTCCTTCCCTAAGGAGACATACTCACAGGGCATTTCAGGTCCACTCTCTTATTCTCCTTTACAAAGATGGAGTGGTTTATAGCATGTTCACTGGGAAATCAGAGCACAAGCCTCCAAGAGGAAAACATGTTGCAGTCCCAATGGTTGGTGCTGTAAGGGAAAGACTAGACCTGGCTCCTATAGTATGACTTTGTCCCCCACAGGGCACCTTTCTGAACTGCATCCACCTCTCCTCTGCCTCCTTGGAAGGAAAGGGGGAAGTGAGAGAGGAGAGAGCGGAGGGGAGAGAAAATAGAAAGTCTGATTAAATTCCACACTGAGCTATTCATTACATATGAAATGAGTGGTTGTGTAAGTAGGTAAGGGCAGAGTTTGATAAAAGCAGCTGAAAGCTCTGTTGACTTTTTTCAAGAAGATACTTTCAGGTAGGACCGATTCTGATATCAGTTTAAGTAACAAAGACAAGAACTTCCATAGAAACTTCTGCAGAAGACAAAAGTTTCCTTTTTGTGTTGCTGTGTAAGCCCAGGCTTCTATAACCCCCTGAGACATGATGCATAGAGCATCAGAAAGCCAGAAACTTGGAAAGCTACCTGGGAATGGGACATGCCTTCATTATAAAACCTGTGATTGCTGCAGTACAACATACATTCCAGCTCGTTTCATTTAAACACAGGGCAACATAAGGTGAGATGAGAGCAAGTCACTAAAAGTCACACTGTCAACATCAGCATAGTAAGCAGCAGAGGAGACTAGGGGTAGGGATTGCAGCATTATCTGGGACAGATAAACAAATGGGTTAATATTAAGGTGTGGTAAATCAGGTACAGCTGCCACTTGGGGACTGTGCTCTTACATCAGACATGTGGGCACTTTCATCATGCTTGTTCTGACAAAACTAGAATTCAAGCCTGTAAATTGATGAAACAGTGCTTACAGAGCTGAAATCAAAGGATTAGTTAATACTAATGTGATGGAAAGGACTGCAAGAAAAACTAAACATATCATTTAGGTTTTGAATTAGAATATAAAGGAGGACCTCCAAAATAAATCAGTGCTGAAGAAAAAAAGTGCAAGATAGCTGAAATTATATCTGCTGTGTCATGGTTTAAGCCCAGCTGGTAACTCAGAACCATGCAGCCACTCGCTCACTACCACTATTCTTCCCTCCCCCCCCACTCCCAGAAGGATGGGGAGGAGAATGGAAAGAATGTAACTCCCACAGATTGAAATAAGAACAGTTCAGTAACTAAGATATAACACAAACCACTACTGCTACCACCAAGAGTAATAATGATAAGGGAAAAAACAAGGGAAGAGAATACAACCACTCACCACCCACCAAACAATACCCAACCAGACCTGAGCAGCGATCTGGGTCTTTGGGGTAACTGCCCCCAGTTTATATACTGGGCATGACGTGCTGTGGTATGGAATACCTCTTTGGCTAATTTGGGTCAGGTGTCCTGTCTCTGCTTCCTCCCGGTTTCCCATGCCCCTCCTCCCTGGCAGAGCATGAGACTGAGAAAGTCCTTGATCAGAGTAAACATTTCTTAGCAACAACTAAATACATCAGTGTTATCAGTGATGTTCTCAGACTAAAGTTGAAAACACAGCACTGCACTAGCTACTAAGAAGGAGAAAAATAACTGTTACAGCTGAACCCAAGACAGTATCCACCAGGACAGTATTCCATTCCATTCATGTCATGCTTAGTTCCCACATTTTTCAATATACCATCACTTTTGTCTCATATATATATGCACTTATATATACATACATACATACACACACACACAAAGAGAGAGATATAACTCCTTAGTCCATGGACCACTCCCTGTAAAGCTGCTGAAATCATCCAGTCCATGATGTCAGACTCCATCTCTTGTAACAGTCTTTCAGTTCAGGAGAGAAGGCATGTAGTATTGGCTTGTTGCCTGCTGATGACACTACCAAACTCATCTGGTCACTGCTGAGCTCATATGGTTTCATCATTCTTTGTTGGGGTGATGATAGGAGGGAAGCCAAGGTCAGTCGCCGGTGACCTGAGGACAGTTCTGCTGCTGCTGGCTCTTCACATGATTTTATTCACCGCTGATGATCATGACAGCACATACCTTCTTTTCAAAGCCCAGAATAGTGGAGATGGGCATCTAGTTGATGGGCTATAAAAGTATTATGTAGCAGGCAACAGCATACAATTGAGTTCATGGTCTGTTTTCCCCTAAAATCAAATACCCTTGAGGTACACACCGGACTTCCCCATCTTCCCACATTACCCACCAAGTATGCCCCGGGTCCCTGAGCAAAAGCAATCCCACGAGTGGGTTTGCCTTTACCAGAAGCAGGAATAACCCAGACTGCCTTCCCCAGCAAATTCTTTATCTGCACCACAGGAACTTTATCCCCCTCTACAGAATGTAAAAGTTCTGACTGGGCTGGGCCAGCCCTGTTCAAAGATCACCTAGTGTGGACCAACCAGGTGCCTTTTGGTAAATGTGTATCCCAATGTTTGAATGTCCCACCACCCATTGATCTCAGTGTAGTTTTTAACAGCCCATTGTACCATTTGATCTTCCCAGAGGCTGGTGCATGGTATGGGATGTGATATACCCACTCAATGCCATGCTCTTTGGCCCAAGTGTCTATAAGGTTATACCAGAAATGAGTCCCATTGTCTGACTCAATTCTCTCTGGGGTGCCGTGTCGCCACAAAATCTGTTTCTCAAGGCCCAGGATAGTGTTCTGGGCAGTGGCATGGGGCATAGTGTATGTTTCCAGCCATCCGGTGATTGCTTCAACCACGGTAAGCACATGGCGCTTGCCTTGGCGGGTTGTCGGCAGTGTGATATAATCAATTTGCCAGGCCTCCCCATATTTGTACTTCAGCCATCGTCCTCCATACCAGAGGCTTTAACCGTTTAGCTTGCTTAATTGCAGCACATGTTTCACACTCATGAATAACCTGGGCAATAGTGTCCATTGTTATGTCCACCCCTCGATCACAAGCCCATCTATACGTTGCATCTCTGCCTTGATGGCCTGAAGTGTCATGGGCCCACCAGACCAAAAATAATTCACCCTTATGTTGCCAATCTAAGTCCATCTGAGCCACTTGAATCTTAGCAGCTTTATCCACTTGTTGGTTGTTCTGGTGGTCCTCAATGGCCCGACTCTTGGGTACATCCGCATCTACATGACGTACCTTCACCACCATGTTCTGCACCCGGGCAGCGATATCTTGCCCAGATGGGTTACCCTCTGTGTTGCCAGTTGCTCTGCTTCCATTGCTGCAACCACCCCCACAGGGCATTTGCCACCATCCATGAGTCAGTAGAGAGATAAAGTACTGGCCACTTTTCTCATTCAGCAATGTTCAAGGCCAGCTGGATGGCTCTCACCTTGGCAAACTGACTCGATTCACCCTCTCCTTCAGCAGTTTCTGCAACTTCTCTTCGGGGACTCCATACAGCTGCCTTCCATTTCTGACGCTTCCAAAGCACTGGAGGGGCCCACTGGCTTAAATACTTGCCCATACTGTCCCTCACACCTTGCCACTCATGACTGTCCAGCCTTGAGGAAAATCTGTTTGTGGTCCTTCTATATCATTGTTTAACCTTAGATACGACCTGAGAGGACCCTGCTTAGCATCTGAGATTGGACAAGATCAGGTGTTCTCAGGGTGTTGACGTCATAGGCAAAACATAGAGAGCATATGCAGCAACAAGCTGGTTCCCAGCAAAAGGAGCAGAATGCTTTCAAGGGCATTGAAAGGATATTCAAGATCTTTAACTTTTCCAGTATCTACTCCTACTGTAAATAGCCCAGTGGGGGAGCGGAGGGTGTGAGGGAATGTCTCCGCCATAGGTTGACACCCCAAGTGAAGGAAAGATGTGTAATTGTTAAAAATTCCCATTATATGCCTCCCATAGTACAGAGGTGATGACCACTCTGAGAACATATACCAGCCCAGTTTCATGATCAATGAGTCTATTGTATTATAAGTCATTACCATGAAGTACAGCAAAACAAGAACCTTAGCCCAGGCCCCAAAGCCGATAAACACTAAACCAACAAATACTGGCTGCAAGTAAGGTACAACATGCTGAAAATCTGAGATCAAGCGCAACAACTCTTAGAGCAAATAAATCAACATTGTAACAAATGACTATTAATCCGAAACAATGAATGCTTATTACAAATACAATTAGACACACTCCGGTCAGCATAAGACTGAAAAAGTCCTTGATCGGAGTAAAAATTACTTGGCAACAACTAAAAACATCAGTGTTATCAGCATTTTTCCCAGGCTGGAAGTCAAATGCACAGCACTGCACCAGCTACACAGAAGGAGAAACTGCTACTGATGAATCCAGGAGATAGCTGTCAAAATGATAGATTGATTTTTTAAAAAGGATAAAATCTAGAAAGTGCTAGTACTTTACTAAGACTTCTACATGGAGAAAGACTTCATGGAAAAAGCCTTAGGAGTCCCTTGTAGCACAAGATGGGAGATCTTGGAACATGGCAAGGCTCAGGTTTCCAAGATAAGTCTCCAGGTGTTTGTAGTCTAATGATTTAGTATATCTCTGTTTATACATTCTATCTCCTGAACATCTCTTTTGATTATCACATACGGAATCATGGGATCAAAATACCTACCGTGTTTTAAATGGAATTTTGATGAATTTGTGGGCAGGCAATATTACATGGATGTTCATTTACTTCAGAGAGAAAATCTCTAGATTTCAGTTCCTGCTTCAAACTATGTTCATGTGTTTGTATTAATTGACTGTTTGTTATAAACATGTAAATGTGCATTGGAGTAGAGGCCAGAACACAGCTGAGTATCTAAACCTCCAAACAACAGAATGATGATATTTTAATCTCAGAATCTTAAATAGTTTTCTATGTAGAAGTACAATTTTAAGCAAAGGAAGAGACCATAGTGTCCCCATATGCCCCCAATTTCTATACTGAGCATGACGTGCTGAGGTATGGAATACCTCTTTGGTTAGTT